TAGTTTCATAAAATCCAGTTTTAAGGTTTAAACGTTCACTTAAATGTCGGCGTTATCTCTTTACCCGATATTATAAATGGCATTAGGGAAAAAAATTACGAAACATACGCATTTTAGTCTATAGATTAATATAATATAATATATAATAGTTCACCATAACATTAAGACCAAAATGTTTTAATTTTTTTATTTTATGACAGAATACTTGATTTCGGTGAACAGGATTGATGATTTTAAAAAAAAATCTTAACAAATCGTATCAAAAGCAGTTTCCACATGATCAGAAAACTCTAGAAATTATTTTTCGCGAAATTCTGCAACGCTAATAAATAGAAGTATTATTATTTTTAAATAACATAAGTTAATGTAATGGGTACCATCCAACTCGAAGGCACTTAATAAGTCTACGATATCACCTTTGTCACGTGTCACACCAGACTTTGATTTCCGAAGACCATTAGTGCGGAACGGAATTTTTCCATTGGAGGATAAATAAAGATGAAGGCATGCCTCACTTCTTTGACGGAGTATTGTCCAGTGAAGAAGCTACGTTCTGCAGAGATGAAACGTTAAACCGTCACGATTCTCTAGGCATTAAGCTAATTTCACATTAGTTGGTAGAGATGGTACTTTAAAATTCTCATTTACCGTAATTAACTTCCATTATTATCAGTTATCGTAATCAAATCCAAGGAGATGAGATTATTCGCTTGGATTATCATGTGCAGATAATTTTCTCTATCACGAAGTCGCTACAAATCTCTTCAAAACTTTTCGGCTCAGTTGATTTCGACATATTTATTTGCCAGTATAGTGCATAGATAACTAACTATAGTTTTCATTATGCTACTCAAAGAACTAAAGGCCACGTAATTTTACTAGCAGCATTCTTGTGAAGCAATAGTCTCTCGGTTATACGAGAGTACCTTCAGTTGTTAAAATAAATCTTCTTACCGAAATTTCATCGAATACAAAAAAGTTTGATTTATTCGATTGACTTAACGATGTTCTGTATATAATGCGACATTATGGAAGCTGAGTGGCGTAAGTATCAAAAGTTAAAAACAACATTTTTTTTCTAAGGTGTTTACACATTTTTGATCGATTGGTAAAGATGGTTTTAATGGTCCATTTTAGAAACCCCGAAAATCACAGCAGTTGACCCTTATATTAGACCAATCTCCGTCTCAAACAATTTGGTTTCTCTAATGAAGTTGCAAATAGATGGTTACTTGATGGAGGTAGCGTTCTGTTTTATGATTCAGTCTGATACCAGAATCCTGTATCTCAGCGACGCACAATAGGTCACGTTCTGTTGCATGTCTGCTAGAAATGGTAGATTAAAAAAAATATATATGTACATATGAATATATAAATATAAATATATATATATATATATATATATATATATATATATATATATATATACATATATAATAATATATATAATATATAATATATATAATAATAATAATAATAAAATAAAAGATTCATTCAGCTATCTCAAAAATCTTTAAGGTTTTTGAAGCCTGTAATCGCCTGTAAGTACCCCAATAATTAATCGAATTTTAGAAGAAGGCTTTTTAATTAACTGTTTGGTTTGTCTAAGCCCTGTACGTTCCCTCCACTCTTCACCTGCTCTTTTCCATGTCCAACCTCTTTCCGCTGAAGCTGATGATCTTTGATAATATTTTTACAGATTGAGGTTCCATAGTAGTGATCTCAAATCCATTTCTTGCTAGCAGGCTAGGGTCTCCAATAGCTGCTTACACATCATCGCAAGTGTGGAGGCCAGTTATGCACTAATAACTTCTATTTGTTTCATCATATATCAACATTTTCACCATTTACTTCGTGAAGGTGGTTTGAAAGTCAAAAAAATCAATAGGCAACTGCTGGAACTATCTTATCCTTGTTTTTAATGATGGCTGTTCGCTGTAAATGTTTATCTTCTCGTTATAAATTTGTAAATAGATAGCACTTTAGCCGCAACGATGTTTTGTATAAAAAATAAAAAAACAACAATTAATATATATGCCTTATTTATATACATAATAATATAAAAATAATTAGACAAGAGTATTTAAATATACATAGTTCTAGCAATATGAATAGCTTAACAAAAATAATAATATACATTTTTTTCAAATATAACCATAGTATTATTGATGATTACAATTATTTTTTTTTACAAAATATTGCATGATACTTGCACGAAAATACTCTAATTAATAATAATAAACCCTTAAAATCAGATTTTTTTGGAATCAGTATAGCATACATTTGAAATTCTTCGTTGAGAGCAACCTATGTTGGTTTTTGGCGATTTTTCTATATTTATTTACTTTATGTACATTACACGCGCGCCCGCGCACACACACACACACACACACACACACACACACACACACACACACACACACACACACACACACACACGCACTCACACACAGATATATATATATAGATATATATATATATATATATATATATATATATATATATATATATATATATATATATATATATATATATATATATTTATATATAGATAAGAATGAATAATAATTTCTGAAAAAAAAAATGTTGAACTGTTTCAGAAAGTGAAAAAAAAGAGATGAAAAAAAAAAAGAGATAACATAAAATAAAATATATGCAATAAAGGCTATTTTTGAGTCGTTATTAAATCACTAAACACACAATGTTGATTGTATGATACATGCATGTGGTTTTCGATTTAATTATTAACTTTGATGAAATCGGTTGACTTGATGTTTTAATAACATTATTTTTCCATCAAAACTTCAATTCTAGCAACACAGTGGCACAAAATACCTTATTTTCGGGGGAAAAAAAATTCACCCACCGCCGACATACGATTTCAAATTTAAATCAGGGTGCATTGTTAAGGTATTTTTTATTTTTAATCGACTGTGAGAGTAAATCGATAGCTTTACGTGTTTTTATTATTATGACAATATTAAGTTTTGATAAATTGTTAAAAAGAAAAAAATGCGATTTCAAACTGTTAAAATTAAGATAAAACATTTTACTGAAGGTGTTACTAAATTTTAAAACAAACGCTAAATACATTACCATTTAGGCTACGAAAATAAAATTCTGTTGATAAAATGATTTTTAAAATCCATACACACTACTGAGAGAAAATTGTTAGGGAATTTCAAATTATTTACTCGCTGTCCAAACTGTTAAAATAAACAGCTCTTTGATGGATTACATCTTTAAATATTTCTATCCGGGACAAAATGAAAGATTTTTTTTTTAATTGAATTTGAAAACATTCTGCTTAAGGTGTCATATAAGTTCCCTTCTTTTCCTTTATTTGTTGTTCAATGTTGATTTACTGCCTTATATATGAACCGCTCTTCTCTATTATTTTCTTCCATCTCTCAGAAAACCTCCTGTACCCTTTTCCCAAAATTATTGAGAGTCGCTTGTAAAATATCCGTCGAGATGCGTTTTTATTTCGTTTTCCGATTTGTGACATTAAACATGGAAAGAATTTTTGTTAACGAAATAAAAAAGTAATAACCGGATGGAGGAAGGTCTGGGGAGTACGGGGGATGAGGTAGAAAGCCCCAATGAAACTGCAACAGTTTCTGTCTCATGGGCAACAACACATGTGACATTGGACCTAAGTTAGAAATTGTAAGTTTCATTGGGACTTTCTACCTCATCCTCAGTACTCCCTGGATCTTGCCCTAAGATAAATGTCACAAAATTGAAAGCTAAATAAAAACGCATCCCGACGAATATTTTGCAATTAAATCTCAATAAATTTTGAAAAAGGGTATAAGAGGCTTCCTGAGAAGTTAAGGTAATGGAGCAGGACGGTTTACGTACAACACAGTTAATCAACCTTAAACAAGAAATAAAGAAAAGGGAAAGAACTTATCGAACACCCAAATATTACATGCCATATTTTTGAGAAGCATTTCAAAACCTTATGACAGTCGTTAAACGTCTCATTGTTCCTTATGGAATCAAAATATAACACACAATTTAATTACATCTTGTAATTGTAAATATACCTGTTAAAGTTTTTAAGTTTGTAGGTTCCTCTTCACACTGTAAATATACCTGTATTTCTTCTTTTAATTATAATGGTTTTTCAATTTTTTTTCTTGTAATTTTTAATATTTAAATAGTACTTTTTAATTTTTCTTCTTTAAATATTAATTTTATTTTGTAAACCTTATTTTTAGATTATATTCCTGAAATCATCAACCTTTTATTTAAATGTCCTTGTTAGCTGTTTACATATCTTTTTCTAATCCTTAATATTTAATTTTAATGGTTCTTGTACTTTTTTATATTTAAACTGTTCTCTTTAACTTCGCTTCTATTAATTTTAATTTTTATCATTTAAAAATGTATTTTTTAGCTTTTGTTCTTAAAATCGTTAACCTTTACTTTTATTACCTTTGTTAACTCCTTTTAAATATTTAACTTTCAATTTTTATAACTTTAATTCTATTGTACTATTATATTCATCTATAACTATTCTAAACTTTAAATTGCATTTGTTAGCTTTAGTTTTGTTATGTGTGTAGTAATTGATCAAATTGTAATATATAGCGAAAATGACCCAGGTGGTTGAAGAGCCCAAAACATTTATAAATAAATAAATAAACGTCTCATATTATATTTAAATTACTGCACTTCCAGTAAGTAGAAAATGTTGAGTTAGTAGAAATAAGTCTTTTTTCGATAGTTATTCGTCTCTCTGTCTCCCACCCTTCCTCCATCCACCCCTCTCCCAACTAATTGTTATTAATTATTTTTATTTATAGTTTGAAGATTTAACTAAATAAATTACCTGGATGATAACAAGACAAAAACACACATAAAATTTCTTTCATACTATATTAAATTGATTTAAAGTGAAAGCACTATGTTTTGGTGCCAATGTAAAGATCCGCCAAAAATTTAGGATTTTAGGGCCCCTCCCTACTCCCTCGACTTCAGAAGCTCCAGTTGGCTCATTGTGTAAAAATAAGGTGTCCAAGATGGTTCGGGTGGAAAAGATGAAAGATAGTTTCGTAGGGATATACTTCATGCTAAACAAAGGTAAAACTTTAATATTTATAATATAAATTTAACTTTATCCGACTATCAAAATTATTAAATAGTGGCCAGATAGGCAAATCGAAATTCCAACAGGTGTTTAAGTCCATGTTATGTTATGTTATGATATGCGATATTCTTAATTTATTTACTGACTTTTAAAAAATTGTTGAAGCCTTTTTTTTTATTATTATTATTTTTTATTTAACGGTCTTCATGTTTTTTATATGTTTTTCTATTGCAATACAGTTTGATAAATATATTGTACTTTGGACTCTCGTTGATTGGGATAGTTATGTATTCCGTACCACCCGAATTAGTGTTGCTCAAATGCGAGACAGAGACGAGTCTTGCAAACTCAGTCTCGGTCATGGTCTTGGTCTTGCGCAAGAGTCTCGCAACAGTCTTGCAGTTACTTACTAGCTTATTACTGTAGAGATATTACTGTAATTTTTTAGATAGGAGAAACCTAACTAAGCCCGAATGAAAAATTAAAAGAGTTAAATGCAAAAGTATATTGATTATACCAATTATTTACATACAGTAACTAAGATTGTCAAGTATTAGTAACTATTTTGCCTTAATTTTTATTCAAAAAATCGATTTTTTTTTACAACTCCTGGTCTGGGTCTTGCAACAGTTAGGCGTCCTTGGTCTTGAAAAGTGCAAGACCAAGACCGATTTTGGGCAACACTAACCCGAATATATAGATTTGATTTGAAATATATTTTAATATTTAAAGATACTTTAAACAAAACCGTATCCATTTATTATTATTTTTTGTATTATATAAGGAAGAGTATTAAGTGATACTTGGTTTTTTTAAGAATAGGATATCTCTTAAATTGATATATTTATTTATTTTTTATTTGTGGCAAGAATGCACCGCGGCCATGATACGCCATATTTAATAATTTATTTATTTTCTTTTTGTTGACGTTTCAATATCCTGACCATTCTTTAAAGAATTTTTTTTTTCGGTTATGGTAATCCATTATATATAAACAATTTTTTTTTCAAAATCCAACTCTTTGTTATTGTAAAAAAAACACTGTGCATTAACAGTATAATAAATATATTAAAAATCAGATTTTTTTTATAAATGAAAAGTTTATGTTTGTGCTTATGTTTATTATAAAACATTACAGGTCATGTAAAACAAAATAAATTATATCTATCTATCCATCTATCTACGTGGCGCTACAATCCTGGGTGGGCTCAGCTTCCTCAAAATAAATTAAAGTTTTTCAATAATTTGTTGTAGTCATTTGTACTTTCTTTTTTTTACATATTTTTTTTTTTTTAGTTTAATTATTTAATTAAATGTTCTGTACAATCTAAATATTTATATATAGATATACACAGACATATACACACAAATACATATATATTTATATATAAGTTTAGTTTGTAATTTTCGGATAACGGTATTAAACATTTATTCCCCGAGATTTATTCCTATTTTTTTCTATTTGGAAGAAATGAGCAATCTAATATATTTATAAATTTCTTTAATTTTGTTTTTGTGTATGCTTTGCTCAAGAGTTCTTTATAATTTCCTTTTTTATTGCCAAGGAGTGTGCCATTCAATCAATTTATTAGATTGATAAAAAATAATTATAAACTATTTTTTATGACATCAAAGTAAGTGACATTTTCATTAATGATAGAATGTATCAACACCTCTATAACATTTTAAATTTATCATCTTACTATATGAATGACATTAAATAAAAAATGTCGAATTCAAGGATTCAAAGGAAATACACGTTTTATTTTCCGAATAACCAAGTTTTCCAAAATGATATGTGAGTGTTTATGAAGAGCCTAATCTATTAACGGAAAATTTTATGAAACTAAAATTATGTATTTCAGGTATAAGTTTGGGGTATTACAGCAAACTTTTTTTTACTGAAATTAACTCACCAAAAGGCCTACTTTGTACCACTGATTTTTTCCTTTTTTTTTTTTACAATTTTATCGAAAACAGATCTAATCTTTTTGGTTAAACTCGTTACACCAAAGTACAATTTAATGGTGTTTATTACCAGTTTGGTTTAACTCTTATTGAAATAGTGAGAAAGACCCCAAATATTAAATTTTCATAATGGTTTCTCTAAAGTACCTTTAATTTAAAAACATAAATAAAACTCATGTAACGTTTTTTCAATTAATTATAATTACCCTTTTTACAACATCCATTTATTCATATGTGTCATTAAAACAACTTTTGAGCCTCATTGGATCATTTTTAAGTTATTTATTAATAGTGAAAAATGAATTATTAAGATATAATGATGAAAGATTTTTTAATTTTGCATTTGATTTAAATTACGAAATATTGTTAAGAGAATTTAGCGAAATTTAAAACTTGTGATAACATAACATACCTACAAGTCTTTAATTTTCCTTTCTTTATTAAAATATCCATTTATTCATATGTGTCATTAAAACAACTTTTTGAGCCTCGTTGGATCATTTTTAAGTTATTTATTAATAGAGAAAAATAAATTATTAAGATATAATGATGCAAGATTTTTTAATTTTGCATTTGATCTAAATTACAAAATATTATTAAGAGAATTTACCAAAATTTAAAACTTGTGATAACTAAACATACCTACAAGTTTTTGAATTTCTTTCTTTATTTAAATATCTGTAATATAATACTGTTCTGATAGTCGAACCATAAAATATATAGACATAAATTATTCTGCATTTAATAAAATGCTTGTTAATTAATCAATTGGAAATATATATTTGTTAAGTGAGTATTATTTTTAAAAGTAAACATTATTAAAGTTTTGAATTATTAATTTTATTTTATTTAAATTATCACTTACTATGCCATGCATGGAAGTGGAGCAAAAATCTAATGACATTTAATTATTGCATTTAATATTTTTTATTAAATTTTGTAGTTGGGTAGAAAATAATCTTGTCTGTGGGAAATAAATTATTACTTTAGAATATGAATAAATAGTTCATAATAATAATTGTTATTGGTTTATATTTATAGTTAAATCAGGTTTTAAAGTTTATTAATTTGTCTAAAATTAGTTTCTACATTATATTGTATATGAAACCAGTCCCTTAATTAAAACTGATAAATTTTATTCTAACTAATTTTTCTGAAATCACTCCAAGGAAGGAGGGTGAACAAGATAGTTTTTTTATACATTTCTAAACCACTAAAGTAAATAAAACTGAAATCACATTTATGTTTTACTGGCTGTGCCTATGTTTTAGTGTTCTAAAATTTTTCTCATTTCTCCCTTGAAAAAAAAAAACACACCTTTTTTAATTTGTCAAAAATTAATTTTTCTCACTGTAAATATTATATTTTTTTATTCTTTGATCATATACTAAACTTTTACGAGATTTGCCCAATTATCAAGAATTTTCTATAATACAATTATTATTACTACATACATATATATGAGTATATACTATGTGTAATAAATTATCATAACATTTATATAAACAATTTTAAATTTTATGTTTTATTACCTTTTTATTGTTCTTAAATTTTTCGTACAAATATGAATCCATAATTTATTTTATATCGTAATATTTTTTAAATTTTTTGTTAGAATTGCCCTATTTATTTATATTTATCATTCCTACACAGAGTAGTTTATCAAAAAAAAAAAAGTTATTATTATTTTGTTTATTTAAAGTTTCGATATTTGAGACTATATTAATAATTCCCAGCATTTCAAAGCACCTTTTTCATCAAAGAAGCCCTTTGTTAAATTATTGCGAAATTTGTTATTATATAGTTGTTTAAACTGGATCGGCACTTTCCCCTCCTTTTATTGGCTATCGCTATCATTTGACGTCTGTCAGTTTGCTGTAGTCAGTTGCTGCGGTTGGAGCTAGGAAAGAAGCCGTCTTTATCATGCCAAGTCTAGTGATGACTTTATGCTTGCCAAAAGGTAATACTCCACTCAGAGAATACTTTAATAAATATAGAATAATTAATTAAATAAAATCTTTAATTCCTAATTTAAATATAATAAGTTTTCAAGGAATCTAATAGTAGTTATAGTATAAAGTGATAAACGTTTACCAAATATTTTAATAATTAATATCTACCATTTCTAATTCGATACCTTATTAACAGTACTTAACATGAATAAGCTTATAAACTAAACGACTTTTATGAAACAAAATTTGATTTTTAACGTATATTAATCCATTAAATAAAAAATGATTTTGATGAAATTTGATAGTTTCATATTTAAATTTTAGTACATAAATATTAATAAGATATCCCTATCGAATATTAAAAGATTTTTAGTAATGACGTTTTATTATTATTAGTTTTAAAAAAATTCCGATTAAAGTTCCAACCCCTGTTTTCTTTCGTTCAAACAAATTTTCGAAAATATTCAAACTAATAAGTGAACTAGACTCATATATTTTACCACAAAGAAAATGATAATATTAAGCACACAAAAATATCTTTCTGTTGAAAACATATGTTTTTTAATTTTATTCAAGAAATTTACAACTGTATTAAATAAAAATACCACTACTAAATTTGAAAAAAAGATATATAACAGTATGAAAAGGCTTGTAGAGAAATTACCTAATGGTAGAAGTCTAATATAATTTATACATTAGGAGATCACGAGACCAGTTTCTTTTTAGAAGACTCGAAGTGTAATCGAAGAGGAAGCTATGAGAGGGTTCGGGTGATTCTGGTGTTTATAATGTGATATTATATATATATATATATATATATTATATATATATATATATATATATATATATATATATATATATATATATATATATATATATATCACAAACATATGTATCATTAGACATAATTTTAATTTTAAGTACATAAATATTAATAAGATATCTCTACCAGATATTAAGAGATTTTTAGTTATGATGTTCTATTACTGCTTATTACCATATTAGACTTAGCGCAGTTTTTATCGTTTTGGGGTTTTTATTGAATTATAATTTTCATTTTCTCCGATAAAGGA